TGCCCACAAAATCTATTTTGCTCCCTTGTCTAATTTTGCAATGGTTGGTGCTACCAGAGCAGGGATAAATAATGGCACCCCTTCTTCTGACTTGAGTAGGAATGTCTGTCCTCCAACACACGTGTTTGGTCAGAGTTTCTGCTAAGGTATTCTTTATCAACCAAAGCAGATTTATTTCACTTCCTACCTTACTGAGTACTTTTATTCACTTTAGGTGTTCAATTTTACATATACTGGTATGAGTGCAGTTTTCTCCTGTGTAATTTTCAGAAGTCTTGCTCTATGGCCCTGTCTCTATTTTCAGCAGTGTTTCCTACTTTTAATGCTGCTTTCTACAATGATTTGATTAGTTCCCATTTCTTTAGTAAATTTTTCAGCACATTTTCATCTTCTTTTTTGTCTTCTTGCCACTTCTTTGACTTTTTTTTTCTACAGTATATGGTTTATCCAACTAATATGAGAATATAGATTTGTATGTGTCTGAAGTTTTCTTTTGTTTGCTCAAGTGATTCTTCTCTCATGTTTTCCTTATCTACAAATTTCTTGTTATGTTCCTCTCTCTCTCTCTCTCTCTCTCTCTTTCTTTCTAGTATCAAACCATAGATCCCAACGTGATTCCTTTCTGCATGTTCCTTTTCTTTGAATGTGAATCGTTTTTCCTGGGCAACTGGTTGACTCAAGAACAAAGTAGGGGCAGTTTAGGGGAGGAGTTGTCTGCCATTAACTCTAATTTGGTTTTCTGATTTTTAAATACTTTCGTCATATCACGTCTTCTCTCCTGGGGGCAACACCATTCCTCAGTTTCTATCATTCTTCAGTTTGGGGTGAGCAGGAAGTGAGAGTGGCCTCATGTGTCACAAATCCTTCAGTGATTCAGTGTTGCTTTATCTCTGATCAGTTGATTAGCACATGCAAAGGTCATTACTGCTGCTCTTCTCTGTCACTCATCTCCTTGCACCTTTAGGCATTTTTTTCTTGGGAAAGGCATCTAGTTCAGAGTAAATCTGGATGGCAAGTCCATACATTTCCCCCTCCATCCCTACCCTCCCATTCTACTCTGCAATGGCATCCCCATAACTAGGTCTTCTTTTCTTATGGCCTACCCATCCAAGAAAGTCATCACTCATTTGTAGGATCTTTCAGGCTACTTTCACTTACTTTTAAGGAAAATGAAGATCTATCCCAGCTAGTCTTAGTATGAGATATTTCCTTGATTCCACATTTCCACATCTACTTGGGTATCATATGAAGCTTGCCCTTTAAATCTGAGATGAAAGTTAGATTTTTTTTTTTTTTTTTTTTTGCGGTACGCGGGCCTCTCACTGTTGTGGCCTCTCCCGTTGCGGAGCAACAGGCTCCGGACGCGCAGGCTCAGCGGCCATGGCTCACGGGCCCAGCCGCTCCGTGGCATGTGGGATCCTCCCGAACCAGGGCACGAACCCGTGTCCCCTGCATCGGCAGGCGGAATCTCAACCACTGCGCCACCAGGGAAGCCCGAAAGTTAGATATCAATGGTATATGGTATCTGTTCAGCCATCCAACATCTCAGGGGAGAGGGGAGTAACCTGGGCTATACGTAACCACAGTGAGCGATCTGAGATACCTTGTACTTTCTCTTTGAAGGTGTTGAATCCTTTGCTTTAAGGGTCAGCTCTGCTAGATTGGATACCTTTTAGAACCCCTACTAGGGGAACTCCTGAAATCTGAGGGTCAGCAGGCCATTTTGGTAAGAAATTGGGTTAGAATGGCAGCTAACATGTCTTCAATTGATGGGTAAAGAGCAACTTTATTCTGTTTATTTCTCTGCACAGTTGTGTTCTAAAGTTAAAACACTTGAAAGACTCTCAGATGACCCTTTCAGGCCTTACTTTCTCTGGGATGTGAGACCCAGAAAAAAATACTACTGTGTGGTGGTAGCACATATTCCCCAGTCCTAATTGTACTTGTGATTCATGCTGAGGTAATGGAAGCCTAGCATCTTTCCCACAAACCACCAGCCCCCATGTAGCCTTTCCTGATGTTTCTAATTTCCAGAATAAAGGTAAAATCCTACATGTTTTAGAATGAAGTGAAAACTGGTTACTGGTAAAGGAATAAGAATTAAACTGACATCAGTCTTCTTATCCATGATACTAAATGCTTGAAGGTAAAGGAGAAGTGCCTACAAAGTTCTAAGAGTAAAGGATTGTGAACTTTCCCGATCAAGGGTAAGAGTAAAATAAGAACAAAGAAGCATTTTCTGATAAGGATTCAAACATTATACTCCCCATGAACCCTTTATGAACAGGATTTAAGAAAATTTACCTCCAAGTGTTTCTCTTAGAAAAGTGCCAGAGGATGGGCTCCTGCCAAAATACGTAGAGGTCAAGAAAGAAGAAATAGAAAATCTGACACAGTAGAGTAGGACAAGAGTTCTAAAATGACAGTGTGCAGTGAGCTTTGGGGACAGAAGTGTGGAGGACTCTGAGATGCTTGACTGAGGTCTCCAGAAAAGAGAGAGAAGAGATGGGGAGGGGAGGGGAGGGGAGATGACAGGCATGTAGAAAAAAACTTAAGAATGTGTATTTAATTGGGGCAATATTTTTTCTTTTGCTGTTCAAGAATTTTTCCCTGGCCCCTAAGAGTTAACTCTCTCCTACCAATGGTTAGAATCCTTTTAGAGAAAGACTGCAGAGAGAGAGAGAACAGAACGATACTTAGTTCATGGCTTCCAAAATAGGATTATGCAGCAGAAAAGTAATCGTGCAAGGCCAGCTTCCATTCACTTTCACGTGACCAAGAGCCAGCCAGTAGTCACCTGGAATATGAAGGTTTCTGTGAGACAGGACTCCAGGAGGAGAGAGGGAATGGTGACAGGTAGGCAGGAAGGAAAAGAACTGAGCGGTCAAGATGACTGTGTCATTATTTGTCTCTCAAAGAGAGGATGTGTGAGAGATGTGGCAGCAACGTCAAAAGCAGAGCCAGCCTTCATCCCTGTTCAGAATCCTGGACAAGATTATCCCCTGGGCTGTCCCCACTTAAACCCAAGACATGGCCACTCTGATTTGGTAGGACAGTCTGCTCAGGCAGAGATGAAACTGGGTGTGTTTATCAAAAAAACCTGAAGATTCCTGAAAGGGAACAGTTAAATTTATTGGATCAAACTTAGCTTTATTATTATTATTTTTTTTAACAATAGAGGATTGGAGGTTTGGGGGGGATTTATTTATTTATTTTAAGAATTTATTTATTTGGCCACGCCACGAGGCATGTGGGGTCTTAGTTCCCTGACCAGGGATCAAACCCATGCCCCTTGCAGTGGAAGTGCAGAGTCTTAACCACTGGACCTCCAGGGAAGTCCCAGTTGAATCAAACTTAGCTTTAAACGAAAGTGGACATGTTATTAGTTTCTTTCCATTCACCTAGAAGAATAGCCTGATTGGTTATATTTAAAATAATGAAATTATTATCCTCCCCTATATCTGAGTTACAATATTGAAGTTTTACAACCTCCTTCTTGCTGCCCCGTGTGGTTAAAAAATATTAGTTCCCTTCCCAGTTAATTTTATTTTTTCTTTAACCCTCCTCCTGCATATATAGCATGATAAAATAGATGGAATCGGTACAACTGTACCATTTTCAAATGGAAAGGAAATCTGAATTCTCCAAAGAGATTTGGTAAGCATTTACAAAAAGTGTATGAAATCTCAGCACTGACAAATATTTCACATGCTGTCCTCTTTTCAGCCAGGAGGCGGTGTTTCTACCCACGTGCTCCTGCTGAAAACAAAGGACAGTGTTCTTCCTAAAATCCGGTAAAACAGAGTTCAAGTGTATCACAGTAAGCCATGATCTCATTATGTATATTGCACATGTGTAGAAGAGCACCAGATATTTCCATCTGTCCATCTTTATCTGTAGAAAATTGATTTCACAACTTTTCCAGATGTTAAATGCCAAGCCCCGTATAAAAGTGTTTGCCAATCACTGCTAAGGCTGAAAATGTATCTTTCCAAACAGTGGGGGAATGTGGAGTCTGAAAATCCCAGAGAGAAAAAAGAAACCCGTGATAAGTAGAAAAGGGACTTTCACATCTCCGTTCATCAGACAGCTGGGGGACTCCCGTCTGCCACACACCCTGCTCTGTGCTCAGCGGACACTCAAGATTAAATGCACAACGTACGTGGTCCCTGCACTCAGGAGCTTCAAATCCAAGCAGGGACAGAGGAGGACCAGCATACTAAGTGAAGGTGCAGGGGGGTAAGAAGACAATCCAGCAGAGTCAGGTCCTCTGAGCCATATTGGTTAGGCAATAGGCGCTCTGATTCATTAAATCATTTGATTATTCTGCATGAAGAAACAATTTTCAGAGCACGAATTTAAAATGTACCCTTAACAATGAGCTAAGGAGCAAAAGGCTTTACTGAGTTTCCAGGCATCATTTCAGGAGTCATGGTCATTCTGAACACCCGGTTTGCACTTGACGCCGCGGCCTCTCTCCTTTCTCAGTACTGCGTTCCTGGTTCTCCCAGGACCTCTCTGTTCTTGGCTCCTCAGAAAGGCTCCCTTCCCCTTCCCGTGCCTCACATGGGCCCTCCAAGGCTTGGCTTTTCCCCACACCCTTCTTTCCACACTCTCTCCGTGAACACTCACATGCCTCCGGGCTCCAGCTCTGCTCAGTCTTGGGATGGCTGCCAAATCCACATCTTCGCCTGACCTATCACCTTCATTCAGTTTCCTGTCTCCAGGCCCATCCTGGCTGTTTCCCTGCACAGCACTCTATACATAGTTATCCCACCATCACTTGCAACTCGGCTCTTCCAAAAGTGAGCTCACTCGTTTTACATCTGACACTGGCTTCCTTTCCAACTGTCTGCTGTCCTAGCACCAACATGTTCTGTTTTTCAATAGAACCCATCCTGGCCATCCTCCTGGGTCCCCACTCACGAGGGACTGGGAAGAAATTCATAAATCCACTTTCATTTACAGCTACATTCTTATCCCATAAGCTTAGCAATTACCTTTCAGTTTCTTAGTTTCTTCAACAGTAAAAACGGAGGCAGTGACAGATGACAGCAGGACCAGAAGCAGGATCTAAAAAGATAACATATACAAACGCGTCTCGAAAATGTCATGCAAGAATAAGATATCAGCCGGTGGCTCATAAGTGTTAAAATATTTTTCACGTAGGAGGCTATTGTCATATACAAGTATGATCAGGAGGATCCACAGCCTTAAAATATAGAGTATGCCGTGCTGAACAGCAAATCAAACTTGTGCAGCTCAGCGCCCAGGAAAGTGTGGATAGTATTTTATTTTTGGAGGAGTGAAATGTAGGTTTAAGAGAAAAACAGAATCATCTCTTAGAAACCTTCATGGAAGACATACAGATGCACATATTTTGCTATATATCACATTTACGTATGACTATAAAAGTATATATCCACGTGCCAAAATTGCTTCCTGTCTCTGCTGCTCCAGCTATCGTTCTCTTGTTATTTTATCAACTGTGGACTACAATTGCTCCAGGATTAAACCCTCAGGCACGTACTGTACAACCTGGGGTTGAAATTAGAGAAAGTGCCCATTCACTGGGGGCTGGGCCTAGCGCTGGGTACCATCTCCTAGCGTCCCCGGCTGCTGCCCAGACGTGCTGTACAAACACTGTGTGAGAGGAACTAGGTCCTCCACACCTTCACACATGCAGGCTCTGATTAGCTCATCAACTCTTCTGCCTGTGACTCGTGCCAACACCACAACCATCAAATTCTTTAGGAAACACAGGGTATTCAAGTACTTATCACAAACCAGATGTTTTGGGTCAGGGGTGGGAAGCAGATTTGGCTCTCAACTGAGTTTCATTTGGCCTGGGGGGGGCAAAGTAGCAAGAAGTTGCAAAAAACGGTTAACATTTGTATCCCCTGGCAGAGATGTGAGAGGCCACAAAAAGTGTGTCTGTTTCTTCTGGGTCAGTAGTTTTCTCCGTGGTTTTTCACTCCACTCCTATTTCTAGGAGTTTGTCTTGTGCCGATCCAGAGCTCAGCCTGCAGGTGTGTGTGTGTCCATGTCCTGTAGTTTTCATTACTTTGAGCGGGAACAGGAGTACTGCAGAACTCTCACCTGGGAACGGTCTAGAAATGGGATAGAGTATGATTTAAATGGGTATGGAAATGTCCTGTTTTTATTGAAAAGGCATGGAGTGCTCTGATTTTTTAAACTCCATGTGTCCAGCGCCTCTGTTTCGGAGTCTTGCCACCTCCAGGCTTCCTGGGCTGAGCGCTTGCACCCTCACCCACTCACACCTTGAACCTGCACCTTGATTCACAGTAGTCCGATCTCTGTCCCTAACGCTCTGCTGAAACTGCTGCGTCCTTTCCAATCTTTAAACTGCCAGAGCCAGGAGCCTCTATTTAGTCTTCCTTTTCCTTATTTTCTTCCGATCACATTCTTGAAATTCTCTCCTGCAGTACTACTCCTTCCTGATTCCCTTTCTCCTCTGATAACTTCTCGGTTGCCTTTCTTGTGCCCTTTCAGCTGAATTTCTCAGATTTTTGTTCTTAGCGTATTTTTCTTCTCCTTTTGCAGTTTGTTTGAGCCAGTGCATCCACTCACTCAAATTTAACTAAAACCAGCTCTACAGATGTCAGGCTCCTAAGTTCCATTGCTAACCTTGACCTAAGCTTTCAACCAATTGTCAGCATCTGTGGATTTCTTGTCATCTCAGAGGCTCTAGTGGTTACAAGGAAATGCCCCCCTGTGTTGTGTAGGTTCCTCTTGGCAAGTGACCTTTAAAAGGTGCCTTTGGCCACCGACTCATGGAGAGGCCTCAGACATCCTAATTAAGTGCTGGTATACAGTGCTTTGACCTTATTTTGTTATCCTTAAAGGAGCTTTAGAATCACGTATTTCAAGAACTGAACTCTCCAGATCCCTATCTATAAATGAGAACAAAGGACAGGATAAACTCTCAGGACAGACTCTTTTCTGTTCTTAAAAACAGACAAACAAACAAAAAACCCTAATTTTTGTTTTGCATACAGAAGTTACAAGCCTTGTATAAATTGCTTTAAGTACTGTTTGTTTAATTTCAATCCTTTACACATGCACAGTGCAGAAGTGAAAGTGAGAGCTGTGTGACTATAAAACTGTGAAAATTGTTTTCATGCGTGGATTGTGGGCACAATCTCATTAGTAAGAGTCCAGATGGCTACCCTTCTTTTTAGCATGTACCTTATATTAGCTATGAAGGAAATACTGTTCTACCAAGGGTGTGTTTTAAGTATATCTAAAAGACAGCAGTATAGCTGTGAATAATACTAACAACAGTGACCATTTACACAGTGTTTATTATGTGCCAGGCACTGTGATAAGAATTTTTCATGCTTATTTGATCCTCACAAAAACTCTGTAAGGTGTATTACATTATTAGCCCTACTGTATATATGAGAAAATTAAAGTTCTGAGAGTTTAAGTAATCTGCCCAAAGTCACTCAAAACACTGTAATTCCTGTTCATAAGACCAATATAAAATACTTAGAAAATATATTACACATTTTCTGTTTGTTAATATGCATATCTAGTTTTTGTTTTTCCACCAAAACTTATAGTGTGCATATATTTGCAGAAGGGGAAAGAAAGGAAGAAAAGGATCTATTGAATCTCATTTATTTCTAACAAACTAATCAGTGGAAAATGTTCCGTATGTACATGATAAGGATAATTTTAAATGATTACATTGTAATGTTCAATTTAGCTTTAATAGTATAATTAAAATATATCTCAATATGATTGAAAATTTTAATTAAATTATATTATATAATTTTGATTTGGCCCTGGAAAGCTGGGCTATTAGGTACTCAAGAGTCAACAAGCACTGAACTATGTATTAAATAATTCTGTGACCATATAAATTACAAACAAAAGATACCTAGGGCTTCCCTGGTGGCGCAGTGGTTGAGAGTCCGCCTGCCGATGCAGGGGACACGGGTTCGTGCCCCGGTCTGTGAGGATCCCACATGCCACGAAGCGGCTAGGCCCCTGAGCCATGGCCGCTGAGCCTGCGCGTCCGGAGCCTGTGCCGTGCAACGGGAGAGGCCACGACAGTGAGAGGCCCGCGTACCACAAAAAAAAAAAAAAAAGATACCTAAATAAGATTAAGTATATGAACATGTTTACTAAGTAAGACTAACTTTTTAGCTTATTTTTTATTATGAAATATATCATACATATAAAAGAGGGCATATGATATTTATGTATGAGGTAAAGAATAACTCCTTCGCTTAGTAAACAAATAGAAGCTTATTACAGGGCCCTCCAGATTCAGCACTGAAATGTAAAGAGTTTGGAAGTTGTTCCTCCCAATGTTACAATAAGAAAAACTATTCAACTGAGAATTAATGACTTTTCTTGGACCCATCAAATTAGGTTGCAGGGCAGTCACCCTGAAATCTAGAGCACAAGTGAATTCAGACAATTATAGTCAAGATCTGCTTACCTACACCAGAAGTCCCAAGAGCCATAAACTAATAACAACACTTATATGGTAATTTTGATGAACTGCTGGAAGCTGAGTGTGGAGTAGCAGAGAGTGAGAAACTCCTGGGCCCCTGCACTTTTGTGGGCTTTACCTACAGGAACCAGGTTCTCATGGTGAAGAGCTGAGAAAGATTCCCTAGAGGCTCTGGCATGAGGGGAGGGGTAATAATTGTGAAATACGCCCAGAGCCTTTTCCATAACAAAGGCCTCTTCTCCAGGGAAAAATACTTTGACAGAGCTTGATTAAAAGCTGGAAGAAGAGCTAGCCTTCCCGTCTCATCTAAGAGGAAAAGGAATGAACACAGTCAACAGGGGTCAGAGCTTCAAGGAAATAGATTAGGAACACTGCACCAGGGAAGGGAGGATGGGGCAAGGGAAAATAAAAAGCTGTACCACCGGAGAAGGTCACAGCCCAAGATACAGACCCACTAAAATACTGAGATTTAATCATAAAACTTTACAATGTTCTCCCTCACCCATACCACCACACCAGCAGGGCTGCAGATAATAAGAGCGGTTTATAGCTGAACGAGCTACAAGACACAAACTCTTTCTGAGAAGTACTTAGACAAGCCACCCCCAAAAAAGAGGGGAGACAAAACATGGGAGCTATAGGAATTTGATGCCTCTGGTACCAATAGCTAGAGCAGTCATTAAATACAGCCCAAACCCCTAGCCCTATTAACATAAATCCTCACATTAAAGGTCTGTTTACCTCAGTTCCTATTACCTGATGCATCATGTCTGGCTTTCAACAATAATTATGACATGCTAAAATAAGGCAAGAAAAACACAATCTGACGAGAAAAATCAAGCATCAGAACAAGACTCAGACATGTCAAAGATTTTGGAATTGTCCATGTGGGAATTTAAAATAACTCTGATTAACATGTAAGGGTCCTAATGTAAAGGGCAGACAACAGGCAAGAACAGATGGGTAATGTAAGCAGAGAGATGGAAATGCTAAGAAAGAATCAAAAGTAAATATTAGAAGTCAAAAACACTGTAAAAGAAATGGAAAATGCCATTGATGGACTCATTAGTAGACTGGATATGGCTGATAAAGCAATCAGTGAACTTGAAGGTATGTCAGTAGAAACTTTGTAAACTGACCTGAAGAGAGAAAAAAGACTGAAAGCAATGGAACAGAATACCCAAGAACTGTGGGACAATTACAAAAGGTGTAACACGCACATAATTGGAATACCAGAAGGAGAAGAAAGAGAGAAAGGAGCAGAAGAAATATTTAACAGTGACTGAGAATTTCTCTAAATTAATGAGAAACAGCAACTTACAGAGCTAGGAAGCTCAGAGGACACCAAGCAAGATAAATAACAAAAACCATCACGTAAAGATATCATATACAAACTGAAGAAAACCAAAGAGAAAGAGAAAATCTTTCTTTTAGATGAGATGAGAAAAACACCCTACTTATAAAGGAACAAAAATAAGAATTACATTATACTTCTCTTTGGAAGCTATGCAAACAGGAAGAGAGTGGAATGAAATATTTAAAGGTTGAAACAAACAAACAAACAAAAAAACAGCAACCTAGAATTCTAGGTCCAGTAAAATTATCCTTAAAAATGAAGGAGAAATTTTTTCAGACAAACAAAATCTGAAGGAATTCATCACCTACAGGTCTGCCCTGCAAGCCATGTTAGAAGTTCTTCAGAAACTGGTAAAACGATATAGGTCAGAAATTCAGATCTATGTAAAGAGATGAACAATGTCAGAGAAGGAATAAATGAAGGTAAAATAAAATATTTTACTTTTCTTATATTAATTGATCTAAAAGAATAACTGTTTGAAGTCAAAATAGTACCAATGTATTGAGTGGTTATAGCATAAGGTTCAGTGAAATGAATGGCATTGTTACAAGGACTGGAAGGGAAGAATCAGGAACTTTGTTGTAAGGTACCTGAACTCTACATGAAGCAGTACAGTGTTATTTAAAGGTAAACTTAGCTTTAAAATGTATATTGTAAATCTAGGCAACAACTGGAAAAAATGTTAAAGATGTATAATTGATGTGCTAAAAGAGTAGATAAAATAGAATCTGTAAATTACTCAAAACCAGAGAAGGCAGGAAAATAGATGAAAAAAAGAAGCAAGAATAAGGATAACAAAGAGAAAAAAACAGTAGCAAATATGGTAGATATTAATCCAACTATATCGATAGTCACATTAAATGTGAATGGTCTAAATATACCAATGAATAGACAGAGGTTCTCACAGTGGATATCAAAACAAGTCCCAAGTATAAGTCATCTACAATAAATCCATTTGGGTTTAAAGATTCAGATAGTTAAAAGAAAAGGGATGGAGAAAGATATATCACGGTAACACTAGTTAAAAGAAAACTGGAGTGGCTGAATTAATTTCAGACAGGAAGTCTCTAGAACAAGGAAGATTATCAGGGATTACATAATTATGAAAGGGTTACTTCTCCAAGAAGACATGATAAAGATACTTTGTACTAAACAAAGTGAAAATGCAGCAACATATCAAAATACATGAAATGTTATAAAAGTAGTGTTTAGAGGGAAATTAATAGGGTTAAGTGCATGTATTAGAAAAAGAAGAAGGATTTAAAATTAGTAACATAAGCTTCCACCTTAAGTAATTAGAGACAGAGCAATTAAAGCTTAAAGCAAACAGAAGAAAATAATATATATTAGAACAGAAATCAGTGAAATTAAAACCAGAGAACAATAGAGAAAACTGGTCAACCAGAATCTGGTTCTTTGACAAGACCAATAAAACTGATAAGCCTCTAGATGGGTAAATCAAGAAAAAAAGGAGGGCTTCCCTGGTGGCGTAGTGGTTGAGAGTCTGCCTGCCGATGGCAGGGGACACGGGTTCGTGTCCCGGTCCGGGAGATCCCACATGCCGTGGAGCGGCTGGGCCCGTGAGCCATGGCCGCTGAGCCTGCGCGTCCGGAGCCTGTGCTCCGCAACGGGAGAGGCCACAACAGTGAGAGGCCCACGTACCGCAAAAAAAAAAAAGAAAAAGGAAAAAAAGAAAAGACACAAATTACCAACATCAGAAATGAAAGAGGGTCAATCACTACTGATTCCATGGACATTAGAAGAAGAATAAAGGAATACTCTGAACAACTGTATGCCCACAAATTTGATAATGTAGACGAAATGGACCAATTTCTTGAAAGACATAAACAAAATTCACTCAAGGAGCTATATATAACCTGAGTAACCTAATATCTATTTAAGAAGCTGAATTAATTAAAAAAAAAACTCTCAAAAGGTAAAGCATCAGGTTCATATCGTTTCAACTGTAAATTCTACTACACATTTAAGGGAGGAATTATACCAATTTTCCACTATCTGTTCCAGAAAATAGAATCAGAGGGAAAATTTCTTCTTTTTGCGATTCCAGCGTTAACCCTAACACCAAACCCAGATAAAGACATTATGAGAAAGGAAAACAATTGACCAATATTTCTTATTAACATAGACATAAGAATCCTGAACAAAATATTAGGAAATCAAATCCAACAATGTATAAAAAGAATTATATGTCATGACCAAGTGGGTTTTATTCTAGTTATGTAAGCCTGGTTTAACATTTAGAAATCAGTCAGTGTAATCCACCATATCATAGGCTGAAGAAGAAAAAGTATAGCATCACATAAATTATTTAAAATGTATTGAAAAAAAAAAGAAAAGAAAAGCAGGGGAATTCCCTGGCTGTCCAGTGGTTAGGACTTGGTGCTTTCACTGCAGTGGCCCGGGTTCAATCCCTGGTCGGGGAAGTAAGATCCCACAAGCTGTGTGGCGTGGCCAAAAATAAATAAATAATAAAATGTAAAATAAGATAAAATAAAATGTATGAAACAAGCTCACTGAAGTGGGTGGGAGGGAAAGGCGCTGACCTAAATAACTCTAGAAATGAGTGGAATCTGTAAGAGTAAAGGCCAAAGAACTGTAAATAAGCACTGTGCTCTCATTAATAAAGTTGTATGGGAGTGTGGGTTAACAATTCTCACACCACTGTATGCACACACTAGAATTGAACAATTTAGTAAATGGATGGCAGATGCTTGGAGCTAGGCTTCTCACTGTCAGAGGGGGAGAGAAGGCTAGGAGTTTCCATGTAGCAATAGATTAGAGTAGGAGGCATCAGTATGAACTAAAATTTAGCCTCATACTGATGTAGTTACATATAGGAATGTTTTCGATGTGTGCATATAAAGCAGTTAGAGGACACACACATACTTCCTTTTTCAGTCAGGTGAGAGGGTCTAGAAACAAAGACCTCCCAGTAACAATGAGCACACCAAGTGCCCAGATCTCCAGTGAAAAGAACTAGAGATCCTTGGAGAAATGGCTGATCCCAGGCCTGGGGAAGGAAACATATGAATTAAGCCTGGAGCATCTTATAGGGCGGGAAAATAGGAACAGCTCATAAAATATTAAAAAAAAA